GATTTATCGGCAAACCGTTTGGCGAAATTCTTAGAAAAGTCATAGCACTCGATTCCCGGCCGAGCCGCACGTTTTGATACCTTTTTGTGTATGTGCGACAAAAGCTGCGGAGAAGAAGCGCGCCAAAAACGTACGGAAGAAGAATAATAATAAGCCCGAGGAAGAGTAGTATTGTGCTTGCTTTGCAAGGCACAATAATAATGATATTATTGTTATATAGGTCAGTGCTGTACAAACAGGTCAGAGGTCTGTACTGTCAGTTTGAGTAATATAATAATTTAAGTTTTAAGTTTTATTGAAATAGCCAATAAAACATATGAATGTGCCCCATTAATATTAACTTCACAGTGTTAAAGAACTCCAGGTTCAATTGTTCATTGTGAAGGGGAATCCAGTTCTTTCTTTCAGGGATAGTTCTTTCCACTGAAGGTTACACTGATGAAATCAACAGTAAGTTTATTACCTCATACATATCCTATCCTCTTATCAGATTATTAGGAGGCAAATTAAAGAGTAATTTTATTAAAATTCTAAAATACATAAGCTTCCATCCAAAGTAGCTGGAACTTTTAGAACCAGGAACTAATTTTCTGTTGTTGTCAGTGTTTCCAAGCAGTTTTTTACATGTCATTTTTACACATTTTTGCTTGCGACTATACAAGAATGAAAAAAACGTTAGAAGAAAACAAGCAGTAGTAGCAAGCGGATTCAAAACGCTTGTCAAAGCACAACAAACAAAAAAAAAAAAGCTGGTTTGCAACTGAAAATATATACTGAAATAATACTGTGAGTATTCAACAAATCACAAATACTCAGCACAGCAAACCCCACCCCTAAAGTTCTTGTATTTTGGAAAGTACTACCTCCCCAAGCAGAGACTTTTAGACCCTGTTCCCTGTGGTGGAAACACACTGAGTTCCTCCAAAGGTTCTTATTTCCTGGGCAATGTGTCTGATTTACCTCTAGTGGTATCTAGCCATCCAGAAGTTCTTCAGGTTTTAAGATATGAAGCCCTTTTTCCTAAATTATGTTAGAGTAGATCAGAGTAATCTCAGAGGTGAATTTATGGTGCTCACAGCATTGAAACATCCCATTAAATTAACAACAACAACAACAACAACAACATCTATCTACAGACACTGTGACCCTGTAACTTTGGATAATCCACCAACTGTTTTAACAGGGACTATTTTTTCTGAAGACAGTAACTGTTGATTATAAATATACATTATGCATATACCAGGTCACTGCATTTGGAAACACACAGTTCTGTGAGCACCACAAATTAAATTCATCACCATTGTGTGGCAGAAATCTGAGATACATCTCAACATCTACACAAATAAAAGCCAAACCTTCTGTATGGACAGACACCACTAAAGGTAAATTAAAGTTAATTGTTTGCTATTTAAACTTATACATTTTTAAGAAGGCAAATATCAGCTCAGTCTAACTTATAATAACCTGTATCGGTGTAATCCTGATTGCTTGTCTCTTCATCATAGTCTCAGTTATCTTAAACATGACAGAAGACAAAATGCAATCACAAAGGTTTTCTCTTGTTGATTGTGTTACTGAATATTTCTGCTGAAAATGTTGCTTTAAGAAGATCTTACAAACTGCTTGTACACAATATTAATCAAACATCAAATCAATAAAATCTGAGAACCAGTACAGTAAATTATTACTGTAGGTACACCTGCAGTGCTGCTTATAGCTAAATATTACAGAATATAAGATTTCCTGTGAGTATACAATTAGTTGAAGATACAGTACTATGAGTAGTGTGCTTATCAGTTTTGATGCCATTACTCAGCACAATTTTATTACATGGATACTGCTGATTTTTCTGACTAGTCTATTTTCTCTGTGTGTTTTTTTTCTCTCTCCATCATCTGCTGAAAGATTGGACTTGCCGTACTTTAGATTATCTATCTTGGTTCAGATAAGTAACAGACGTTTCCATCTCCTGGATGTGTGTAACAGTGTTCGACACGGCACCAACGCACGTTGGTATGCTTGCCCTGTGAGAAGGCAGTATTAACGGGTGAGGCTAAAAGGTGAAACACCTGACATGATGTATAGCTTACCAACATTAAAGCCCTTTTGTTGACAAGGCAGGGGGGAGGAAGCTGTATTTTAAAAGCACAGAGATGTCATCAGGTGACTTCTCAGATCCTGTGAGTCTACATGAGGAACCAGTCATCAGTCTTTGGGTAGTGATATGATGCAAGAGGCAAAAATTCTGGCTTTGAAAATGAATCAAGAATCCAAGAACATCTTTTCTTATTTCACACCACATGCTTCTATGTTTTGAAAATTAAAATGGTGAAACAACTCCACTGTCCATCACTATTACTCAAAAGTGTGAGCATGTGCCTTTACAGAGGTACAACTCAGTGGAAAACAATCAAGAGCAAAGTCTGATTTTTAAATCTTCTGGCTTCTGTGCTTTCCGTGCTAGAATATAAGATCAAATATGAATCAATATAGCTTTTATTTACATTACATTATCTCTCAACTAATACAGAGATTACTGTAAATGTGAATTGTTGTGGTGCAGTTCATTTGCTGGTCATATTTAATTCTTATTATATAGTAGCACTATTGTAATACTGTGGTTGAATCAGAGCTGTACAGCTGAGGGGAGAGGGGGCACCAGTGATCCACCTACAGCTGGTTTGAACTGAGGGGGAGCTCAGTACTCCCCCGGGGGAGTCGAAGCCTTCTCCAAGGAGTCATATTGAGCTTCATCAAGCTGCTCTTCCTCGATTTCTTCTTCTTCCTCATCATCAGAAAGGGGCGGAATAGGCGGGGCCTCCACGGCCGGCTCATTGGGTGGATTATCGCTGGGAGGAAGAAGAGGAAAGAAAATACAGTGAAAAAACACATTGTTTCTTCTTTATTTGATAAAATGTAATGCAAAACATGCATAACATTGGAAATAATGACAGAAAGGGATGAAACAGTTCTTTTTCCAGCAACAGTGAAGTCTGATGAGTCATGCAAACAAAAAAAGGGAGGGAAAATTGAGTATGATGCAGAAACATGCCACACATTTCCTGAAATGTACGAGTAACACCCCACAGTCAGTTGATTAGGTCGGTGTACAGTCACGTCACATAAAAACCAAAGCAAACAGTGATGAAAGAACCTGAAAGCCGCTCCACGACACCCAACGTCAACATGACAACAAAGCAATTTTTAGTGATAATGACAAAGTAAAAGAGGAAGTAGTTGCATGAAGAGCCTGAAGACCCAAGGGCAGTCACTTACGATGGGTTTTGGTCACTCAAAAGCGGGCGTAATCAGGCCCTGTACTGAAAGGCAGAGACAGTCCCCATGTGTCAACATTCACAATCTTCTCAAAGACCAGAAGTGACACATTACATTATATTCTAATGTCACACAGGGTGATATATCATTTCTATAAGTGTTCTTACATGCCTTAACAGTATACAGTATGTATATTTAATTACTATTAAGACAAGCTATCATCAATCTTAAAAAGCACTGTGTAGGAGCGTAAACAAATGAGACCAAGGCTGAGACAACTGGGAGCCTCCATTTAAGCCTGTCTGTTGTCTATTGTCCCCCTCTAACCCTCTACAAAATCCAATTTGTGAACTCAAGTACTGGACTCTAGTGCAATTTGGAGGTGCTGGTGCTAGTATTTCAAATTTCTATATCTGTATAACTGCCTTATATATACGGTATCTCCAAAATGTTGACTTCCAAGGAACTATTTTGAGACCTTTCACAGGGGTTTTCAGTTATTCTGTCTGATTTACTCAGGTACAAATAAGTCTGTAGAAGTCTGAACGTCTCGATAAGAGGCCTAATCATCCAAACACATCCGCCGTGTGTGGGTTGACCATGCACGTCAGAGGCTTTAAAATAAAACTGTCTTGATGTATTTTAGGGATTATTAAAAGCATTTAGAAAGAGTAAACTTAGTTCTTCAAGTGGTGATTCAAAGTCTACAACTGGATTTGACAATTATATAATGTAGTCAAACATTAGATCTAACCAAAAAAAGACCATTCTATACAGCAAACACTTTTTTCAGCTTCCTTCACCACTGCGTGACACATACAGTACAAAATGCAGTGCTGAGGCCTGTAGAGGCTGCCAGTCAGACTCAATGATGGTCTCACTTGTTGATGGTAATTCTACTGATGTATCTAAAACTATTGTGGTCTAAAGTTTTAAACAGATAAATACCCAAACAGATGACGACTACAAACTCACATTTGCTGCGTGTTAACATGTAATATATGACATAAAATACATTTACCACAGAACAGGAAACAAAAATAAAACAGGCAGACATACAGACAAGCATATAAACCACAACACAGTGAACTTAAAAATGACAGACACTATAAAATGAATGTGCAGTGATTAGGACACACATACACAAACACACACACAGTTGAGTTGAAAAAGGTACCTTTGCTAGCAGCAGGAGGAGGAGCAGGCCAGTGGGTGAATGGCATTGGCAGGTCAGGGCGGGTTGGATGCAGTGTAACTAATACTGTGCACTGAACACACACACACTCACACACACTGTACATGCAACAAGGCCGGTGGGAGGTTATGATGGGAACCGAGTCAGTTCCAGAAATGTCGACATGAGAAGTGACACCAAATGTGCAAGAAGGTTGGTTAAAAGCGAGATAGCTTGCTAACTGTGAGAAAGGAGCTATGATAATTCCTCGGTTAGGATGTGGTGAAATAGGAAAACAAACATTGTTTTGGAAAGAAAGATCTGAAAGAAACTTAAATTAATCTGCTTCTTAATAACCTGCAGTAGATTACTCTAAAATAAAAACTAAGAAAAACCCATTTGGCCTTCGAAGACTAATTTAGAGACAAATTAAAAACCTATTTGAGAAAAAAAGAAAGAAAGATTCAAAGGCTGAATTCTTTCTAGTTGTCTCTTGGGAAGTGAAGGCCTTCTGGATAAAAAAAGAAATGAACAGAAACAATCAAAAAGATCCAGCTGAATAAATTTATTTCACACTTTTTAGAGTAGAAATTCACCATACATTTGAGGTCATCAATGTTACACTTTTTGGTGCCCCCAAAGCATGCATGTCCACAGATTCTCTGTACAATATTGAGATGTTTTTGTTTTTTAAACAACAAAACCTCCTTTAAAATAAAAGCGCATCACTTGATGAAGGAGTTGTTCGGCCACAGGTGGTTGGTGTGCTATCTCTGCAGCAATGGCAGTCATACCTTGGTCTTATTTTAGTGGAGAAAGAAGAAACACTGGCAGCTTCCAGTCGTTTGCACTCGACTTTTGTCTCTAAATTCATCAAAACAGAGATGGAAAAAAAAGGGGGGTTGGCAAAGCTGAGGGGGGAGACGAGTGTTAGGTTACAGACAGATGGAGAAGAGAGCAAAGAGACAGCAGACATGTGCAGCAAGGGAAACATTTCTACAATGCAAAAAAGTCCATCTTGACTCAAGTGTCCAATTAAGTCTTGAAATATTTTTTAGAGAAGTGAAAACCACGACGCAGAAAAGTGGCACCTGCCTCACTTTTTTCACTAAATTTGGAGAAAAAAAAATATTTTAAGAATCTTTAAACACTCGACCACATTAAATATTTGTTAAGACAGACATTTTTCTGCAGAGTGCGAGACATGGAAGAGGTGCACAGTTTACATTTTCACCTTCTCTCTTTGGTAAAGACAGTACTTGGATGAGATTTTTGTAAAAGACCTCACAAGATTTAGAAGCCAACAATATGAGAAAGACCAATTCCGAGTGGGCCAGTTGGTGGACATCAGATGTCGACATCCAGACAGTGGTTAGTAAAGACAGGCACTAACTGGACCGACATACAGACAAGCAGACCAGCGTCTTTATTTAGCACAGAGAGAATAGGACAAACAGTTCTTTTATCTTCAAAACATGATGCTTTTTACTCACTGAGTTTTTTTAAAATCACGCCTTTAATTGCAGAGACAACAGTACAAGAAGGCTGAATGAGGTTTCAACATCAAATGAACTCCTCTCCCCTTCGAGGCTACAGAGAGGCTGTGCCATGAATCTGTATGCTGGATAAATGTGGCACAGTGTAAACACCGTTTTGGAGCCAATGACCCTGTTTCGTTATCGCAGTACTGCTGATGCCTCATTTGAATCTCTGGATCCAGAAGTTCATCAGCATATCCATTATTGCCAATAGTCTTAAATTGCCATAAAAATATATTATTCATGTTAGTCACTTAACTCACAGTAAAGAGGCACTATAATATGTCTGAACGTAGAAAAAGATTTGAAATGGTTGCAAATGAGGAGCAATGTTGATGTGCACTGAGCCAAACAGCAGTACCAGTTGTCTTTTCTTTCATGCATGAACGATGGTTAACCTATCTATGGTTGCAACTATTAATTCTTTCTCCAAAAATCGATTATTTAGTCTGTAAAATGCAAAAAAAAAGTCCACATGCAAACGTGATGTCTTCCAATTAGGGGTGGGCAATCACATGAATTTAGATCGAGATCTAAGGCGTCCATGATCTACTTTTCAGGCAAATTATACAAATGTGTTTCCAAACTCCCTATGACGTCACTGACTAGTGGCAAGTATTTGCGATTAAATATCACCCAACCCTATTTCCATCAGATTCTTTTGTCCAACCAAAAGTCCACCCTCCAAAACCCAAAGATATTCAGTCTTTAATATGATAAAATAAAAAAAGCAGCGAATTCTCACATCTTTGTAATTTTTTCTTGGTAAATAACTTCACAATTATGTGTCTAATACAGTTATTAGACTAATAATAATAATAGTTTCAGCACTAAACCCAACTCAGAGCCTTGCATGTCATTCAGGGACGAGGGACAGTTGACCCCATTCAGCCTTGGCATGGCATATTCACACACCACAATAGAAAGGACCCCGAGCACCTGGGTTTGTGTGTCTGAGCACAGTGTCCCTCCATAAAGATGTTGGAGAACAAGTTCAAAGGCTGATACGGAAAACTTTTACAGTAAGTTGGTTTACAGAAATATAGACTAATACTTTCATAAGGTGCGTTTTTTTTAATGAACTGATCATAGATACTGTATGACAAGCACTTCTGTATGGCACATTTATGTACAGTAAACATTCCTGTCACAATGTCTCCATTCCATAAGTTAAAACATTTACATTATCTGTTCACTACTCGTGATACATGGCCTCTTATCTCAGAGGAATACAAAACCTCACAGCATGAAAAGGTAAAATTATTGGTAAATACTGAAATACCCAGTAAAAGTATTGATTGTAATGTAGTTTTTCTTTTTACATTTTGAAAATCCTCTTTGGGATCAACATCATTAATCTCACACCCTGATTTATATATCCTTTACATTGTCACTGTGATGGAGAGGACTGACATTTGTGAAAATCAGGTTCCTTTGGTGGGGAGATATTATCCCCAGCGATATATAAAAGAAATGTACATGCATGAAAGACAAGCAAAAGATACTTTTTCCTCAGAGAAAATGTCCATCACATTGATTTTGAATATTCGGATGGCACAAGAGTCCGGTTTGTTCTGGTTTGGCTTGGCATGGCTCTGCACCAAGGCTTCACCAGTGGGACGGCGTGGCTACCGGCCAGCTAGACAGCACAGGTTAGGATTGGTGGGGAGGAAGGGGGAGATCAGAGAGGGGGAAAAGATACAGACCCAAGCCTCTTCCTTGCATTGATGGACTCAAGGAGAGTTTATTGCCGTAAGCGGGAGGTAAGGAGGCAGGGAAGAGGGGGGGAAGGGGTTGGTTGAGGGGCAGCAAGGTGCCTGTCATATCGCATCGTCTGGCTGAGTCTGTGCCTGTTTGTCTGTCTGTCCTCACACTGTCGAAATCAATTTGCCCTCTGTGGAACTGTGGACAAAGAGAGGAAGAGGCTTCCAGGTGGGCTGGCTCAAAAGAAACAGCAGCAAACACAACCAGGACACATGAAGAGGCAGAACACGTCTACCCTCTAACATGAGAAATAAATCCAACTGTATAAAAGTTTGTCCTGATCTGAGCCTGAACTTCCCACAATATGATGGTTGGTTTTAATCAAATGAACTGTGAGTGAGAGGGTTTGAAGCAGGGTGAGCTCATTAGGGATTGGGTGGGTGCAGTTAGCAGGTGGAAGCGCTACTGGAGCTGCATGGTGCATGGGGGGCATGAGGAGGAGCTGGGAGGTCAAAGCATGAGTGTTATGATATTAATAAACAAAAAGAAATCAACTTAAGCTTAACACAGAAACCAAATTAACCAATACACATGCCTTAAAATGTGATTCTTTTTTTTTTTTACTGCTTTTACAAAAGGAAACAATTATTTCTAATGGTCCTGTGTGGGTTGATGGACCTCTTAACATTCATAGCTGCAAAAACACAAAACCAGTCTTCTACCAATATGCAGTATAAAGAATATACAATAGTATCACTTATGTTATCTTATAAAATAAGTAAAAACAGAATGTAAACATAAAAGAGCACAAAGAAAACGACACAAAACAGAATTGCGGCGTGTCCTGCTGGTTGTGTGTTTGCGGGTCTGCCACAAAATATCCCAATCCCTCAACTGTCCCCGTCTTCAGTGGCCAGCAATAAAAAAAGTACCCAATCCCTCACTGGCTTCCCACCCAGAAACCCCTCCAATTGCATTCGACCAGAGTGGAAGCACATAATCATCAAGATTGATTAAATTCTACTCGAACTGACTAAACTTAAGCAGATTTTTTTGTATCAATAGAAGATAAAATGTATTAACGGTACAAATGGTTCTTACCTTGTGGGGAAGCGGGGCTCGTATTCTTCAACTCCTTGCTGTAAAGACAAAAAAATAAGATGATGATGAGCGATTTACATAATAAATACTTTTGTAACTTCTTGCTAGAATCTGGAAGGTTAAAATGACTATAGCAGCCAGCAGATGGCAACAAAGAGCCGTTGTAGATGAGATACTGCATCATCTCAGCAATAACCCTATAAACCAAACTCAAAACTGATAAACTGTACGACTACAAACCTCACTTGGAAATGTAGAAATTACGTCTTATGAATATTAAAGTGCCCTTCCAGTCAGAAATATGTTTTGCTTGTTGTTCCTACAGTTGGATGTTTGAGCTTCACTGTGCAGAATGATGTATGTGCAGAGTCTGCTGAAATAACAAATCAGACTCACATTCATTATTGTTCCAGGCAGACTATTTTTATATATGTCTTAATGAATGTCTCAAAGGGATATTTAAAGAGGTTCATATGACTTCTCTGACTCAAGTCATTCCTCTAAACATACACTCTCTCCAGGTCATTGTCAACCTACATGTTGAAATATACTTACTGTGGATTCAAAAGCATTTTATTAATCGTCTACCATATTTAGTTCTTGGTTAACCAAATGTCCGGATGTCATCTGACCTACATCATCATCAAATCAGTGCTTACTGGGTAACATAGCATTTCCAACACTTTCAAGTGCACATAAGCCTGACAACAAAACCCAGCTCCCCTTAAATGTCAGCAGAGATGTTTTCATCCCTAAATGCGGCGAGGCGGAAAGAACAGTTTAAGTTGTTACATGACTGCTGAGCAATTAAGCATCGCCCACATGTAATGTTCCAGGTGAGACGTGGGTGGGAAGCTGGGCTGATAGAGAAGGGTTCAGTGTTGCATAAGTCTACTTCTGACTTTGCCGTTTGAAAAATGAACCCCCCTCCCTCGTGTCACCACTGCTGCCTCCTCTTTCTTTCAGTCAGCTGGGCAACGCTCCCTCTGTTATCAGCCGACGCCTGTCAGATGAACTTCCCTCAGAGACAGAGGCAGCCAGGCGCGGAGGGAGACTTCTCCAATCTGAGCTGTGCCACATCTTAAACTCGACCTTCCGCAAACAGGGACGTGTGAAGCGAAGGAGAACTGATTCCTGCGTTTATATAAGCTAATGTAGCAGAGCGTTCTCTGCGAGCTTTGGCACAAGAGAACTCTGAGTACTGTTAAAGGAAGAGACAGCCTGTCAAAGCAAAGCTATTCCTGTACGGTATCTCAGGTCAGCAGCACGTGGGGAAAAGCTACCTCCAAACTTTCTGAGACATACAACCGCAGATCAATGCCAGTTTTCGTGCGACGGCTCAGCTCATGTGTCATGTGTGAACTCGTGTGTGGGTAGATGCCAGTGTGTGTTTGTGTGCTTGTTTTGCAGGCCCCCCACCTGTGAGAAGCCTGGCACTGCTACGCTGTAGGGGCGTTGTTGTCTGCCATGCAGCACAGCAGCGCTCTGTGCCGCCATACGGGACTGCATGCCGTAATCAGGGACAGAGAGAGCCATGTCTTCTCTCTCTAGAAGGTTGCCTGTGCTGCTGCTCTTCCCATGGAGGCTGGAAACACACAGGTGTACAGGGAATGAGGAAATGGTAAACATGTTGGCAAATCCTCCTGGGCCAATCAGGAACGAATATGTTAGCTTGCGGGTGTTTGTGGGGAAGATCTGCAGGGGAGCCATCAGCAGGCTGTTGCTTTTACTTTCATGATGGCTTATTTAATTCTCAGTTTTCACTGGAAGGTTTTACAACCCACAAGCAATCAAGCCAATCAATGTCGGTATCCATTTAAATTAAAAAGGAACTAGTAAATAATAGTTTTGTCAGAATCAGAGGCCAATATTCAAAACAATGACAACAAAAATCTGAAATATGGCTACAAAACATATATAAATAGTATTGACTTATTTTTCGGACTAAAGTAGAATCCTAAAACATACTTGTGTACTCGAAGTTGCCTCATGGAGTTGCCATCACCGTCAGAGATCACCCGGGTGTAGGAGAAGGGAAACCAGCCACGCCTGCAAGAGATCAGGGGGCACCAGATATTAACAACAAACAACAAATTAATGGGGTTTTTGGGTTCATTGAAAACCTGTACGTACCAAATATGGTGGAGATTTTAATCATAAAAGACACTTACACTTAACTGTTTTGAAAAACAATCCTATACACCGTATACATAAACAGTGATGCATCTGCACCAAAAACTAATCACTGGTTCCTCTGCCTTACTTTCCACCATAGGTAACTGAAATCTGTTGAGTAGTTTTGATCTGTGTTGAGCTATCAAACAAGCAGACAAACAATCTTCAGAATCATCTCTGAACACATAAGTTGCACTCACATCCTTGTCTTCTCGTTCTCTCCATAGTGCCAACCATCACGGGCCTCTGGGACCAGCAGGGTTATCACATCGCTCTCAGAGAAGCTGAGCAGGGTGCTGTTGTCGCCGGCTGCGTGGGAAAAGATGGCCTGGACTCGAGTTCTACCATTTTTCTCCAGCCCCGCTGCCATAGAGCTGGACCGGGGCAGTGTACGGGTCTCTGCTGGTAGAGATAAGAGGAGGAGGAACAGCTTTCAGTCTCCCTTTCTCTAATAAATACTGTTTACTGGTGTAAAACATGGTGTGTAGCTACTATACCTCCAAAAACTTCAGTTTCTACAACATGTATCGCTCTACTAAACATTCAGTCATTTACTAGTTGTACAATTTTAAGTGAGACAATTTTTTTTGTGAAACCTGTTCCTGTCCTACATCTATTTTTACTCATAGTCTCTCTTTGTAATTTTTAATATCACATCTCTTTCTATTCCCACTTGCGTTGGCCTGTTTCTTATTAAATCTGCACAGGTTGTGTGTGACATCCAGGCAGATGTCTTCCATTAGCTCTGTTGGTGGGTTTTGTCTTCGCAAGAATACTTTTCAAGAATAAACTATAACACTTATGTGTCCAGTTAATAAATTCTTTCATCAACATCATTTGCCTAATTAGGTGCTTTTATTAAATGTTCCCTGAACTTTCATCTTTCCAAATCCCTTGAAAGAGTGAATAAATTTGGAGCACAGTTAAGAGCTCACTATGTGTCCTTACTCAGTGTGGTCTTGCTCTTGGCTGGGGCGACCTTGCGCACAGGCAGGGTGTTGGAGTAGACCTCCCCTCCGTGACGCTGGGTCTGCGGTGAGGCCTTGCCCTGGGCCACCTTGCCCTCCATCCACTGTTGGTAGTCCTCTCCTCCGTGAGCACCGGCTGTGCCGTTCATCACCGGCATCCCTCCTTCCACACCTCCCATCAGCCTCTGCGGAGATGATGAAATTTGCATACAGGCAATTAAAACGTGAACTCTCTCTTTACGTCACCCAGAGCTTTTATATAACATCCAGTAACTCATTAATAATAATGAACACGGGTGCAGAGAGGATCTGGGTCAGCAAATGCTGATTAATGAAAAGACTGCATTTGAGTATATGTTGGTTTAAAGATAAACATATGGAATAACTACTGGGACACAGCAAAGAGTTTCAAAGTATATTTAATCTGGGAACATAACACACCACAGAATGTGCACCACGGTTTTTAATTAGAAGCTCGGGCCAAACTGAGGCAGTCTTTCTTCTAAATTTTGAAGGTTTTTTTTGTTTTCATTAACCAGGCCTGCAGGAGGGGGAGGAGGGGGGCAGGGTGTGAAAGAGCCTGAGGACGTGAGGAATTTAAGCCTCTTCTGTGCAACAAGCTAATTAGCATGGTTCGCTAACAGTACCATTTGCATTCACCAGAGTTTTCCGAGGACGCGTTAAGGGCTCCCATGATGCAGCAGCCACATCCCGGGGCGACACCCCTCGACACACTCCAGGTCCTTATTAAGGGTCTCATTAGACAGCACTTACCTGTTTTTGTGTGTGTCTGTGCATTTGTGCTTCTATCTCTGTGAGGACCAATTTGAGTTTTACACCGTGAGAGTGAAGATATTTTTAGAAAGAGGGTACATTTGCTAAAGGAGGACATGTTGGCATTACTTGGTCCAGGGCTGTTTGAGAATTAACACTTTAGGTTTAGTGTTTTAGTTTAGAAGCAGGTTCAGGCTAGGGTTTGGGCTAGGGAACACATAATGTCTTTGAGGGATCCTCCCACACAAACCAAGTGACACAATTCACTAAAATGGCTTCAGATACTGCAAAGAGCACAGGTCTCAGGTGGACTTTTAGAACAGACAACATTTAAGGGCAGTAGAGGTACAGACCTGCTGTCCCATGACCCCACTGGCCCTCAGGGCTGCCAGTTCTGGAGGCACCGGCAGGGGTTTAGCACCAGGGATGGGCTCAGAGATGGGCATGCCTGGATGATGAGCACCAGGAGCCATGACGCCCGCCGCACCGCTCATCTGCTGGGCGAGGAACATGGCACGATCTGGCAGTTTGTTGGGCTCGGCACATGCCTGCTGCCACACTGGGATCTTCTGGGATAAAAGCTCCTTCCCCTGGAAGAAAGAAGGAAGAGAGAGGTTGAGGCTGACAAGTTAGGCTCAGGTTAAACCCTTTGTCAGAGTCAGAGTAGGGCGGTTCATGACTTTGCTATCCTGGGGAAAAAAATGGTTCCAGGGCTAATAAACAGGAACAGTGCAGAGACACTCATACTGATAGTATTGAAGGAATTTACTATACTGGTAGTGGCATTGCTAATACACTGCATCTCACAATACCAACAAATCTGTTAGTTTGGCACCAAATGATTCACTTGTTTCTTGCTTTTGCAAATGTTGGTTGGAATTTCCCTATAGACATCAACATGGCATCATATTATTCTTATAAGCAGAAGTGTTGAATAGCTGACGGGAGGAAAAGATCGAACAAACACACAGTAGATTGGGGCCACAAGAGATATGAATCCTCTTTATGAATGCACTCATTTGAGAAGCTCTCAGCTGGTGTTTGAAGGGCTCAGTTACATCTCCTCCATACATTATACAGTAGGGCAGTTACATAAAGATACTTCTGATTTGCATTCTTCGTCAGTGAATAAATGAGGGAGTCCTGAATCCATGAATATTGAAAAGGTAATGGAGGAGAATCTGCTGCTCAAACAGTTTTAACTCCACCAGGCCTGTGTGGAGGATAAACACAGTTTGGTTCCAAGGTTGTCTGGCCCTGGTGAGTGTATGTGGGTGTTGGGGTGTGGGTGGGATGATCAAATAAATTAACACATACACAAATATAAAAAGTACAGCATAAACAAATTCATACTAACAGGATGAGCGTCATGTTACTGGGAATTCATGCTAAGACTGAAATAGCGGCTAGCTCTCTAGTCCCTGTAAGATTTCTCTGTGACAGTAAAAGTTTTGCTTCTTGTGGCCATTAACTTTTACAAGAGGCTAGATTAATGGGATTGGGATGAATGGGATATCATCTCTGCATTTCTATGTGTGTGCAGCAAAGTCTTTCTTGCTGCTGGTAGAAATGATGAGTCACTACGACCTCAGCTAGCCTTTTCAAATAGCTATGGTAGAGCGTAGGTGGATCAGTGCTTTTACCAGTGTGCTGATAAAATCGACTAGCAGACGGTGGCTCTTTTTCCTTCATTCTTGCCTTCTAGCTCACCTCCCGCAGCACAGGAGGACCACTCTCTTCCAGAAACTGAGTTTGTGGGAGATTTGCCAATTTGTAAATGTAGTCAGTAAGTAAAGAGTGACCTAGTTAGAGAGCTTTACTTTGCGAGATCACAAAATCACGAGAACCACAGAGTTTTGGACCAATCAGTGTCCTATAAAGGAACTACTGGCAGCTAGGTGTGTGAGAATTTGCTCAAAAACAAGAATGGCGGCTGCTAAAGAGGTTAGGGTAGATGCTGCTAGCATCAATTATCAGTACAGGAAAGTATTTATTCATTGAAAGAAGTTATTTATTTTCTAATATCTAAAATAATGCTTGTGGATTATGCAGAACACCAACTATATTATATAATGTTTATCAAATAATGCTCAATACATTCACAATCCTTTAGCTACTTCAAATTGATCATTTTCTCAATGATTTGATTGATGGATTTTTCTATAAAATGTCATAAAATACAAAAAAACCCAACTCCTATTATAATTTCCCTCAGCCCAAGTGCTTGTTTTATTTAACCAATCATGCAACCTTGAAGACAATCAAGTTATCATATTTGACAAGGAAAAGCATAACATTTTCATAATGAAGAAGCTGGAGCATAGAGGGTTTGGCACTTTTGCTTGAAAAAACTGAAAACGATGAATGATGATGAAACAAGTTCATTTCTTGTCGTTGGACTAATACGTTTATCTGCTAATATATTCAAGATTCAAATGCACTTCGCAACTGGGTTTGAGGCTAAATAATTCTTTTTCTGCCTTTTATGCATCATCACATCAGCAGTTTGTGTTCTGCGCTTCCTCCCTCTGTCTATCAATCACTCATTCAGACACTTTCACACCCACACACAGTGAGTCTGAACCAAGTGTTCTTGCAGAAGTAGGTCATTCTCTCTCCTGCTGCCTCCCCACTTCACCCTCCTCCTCACCCACTCACCCTCCACTTCTCCATCTCTCTCACTTCACTTTACCACTTCATATTTCCCCGGTGTGAAGGGATGAGATGTGGGTGGATGGATAAGATGCGGGTGGGTGGGTGGTAGATGCTTTCCTTATTAATTTCTTGAATGATATTAAACTCCTGACTCCTGACGAGTGATCTCCTGGCTGCAAAGTCTCAATAGCAGAAAACTTTATCCTGAATGAATAAATGCAGAACATAATGGAGTTTGGGAAAGAAAGATGGGAACATACTGCTTGTGTAGTAGTTTTGAATGTGTGAGATGTGTTCGATATTTTCTGATTTCACTGCTAATGTCTGCATAATCTGTATTTAACCACTTTAGAGCCAGTTTACAATTAGCTTGCAGTGAATGTTTTGCTCGTCTTATCTATTTATCATCATCAAGGCTAAAAGCCACTCTGATGACTTGGTTCGAACCTAGAGAGTGAAATATATCAATGGGATGCTGTTGAAACAAGCGTTGTATAGACCATCTAAAAAAACATGCTATCTTAATGGAGACATATTTTGATGTGGAAATCAGTCACTTCAAATCAGCACTGTGTACTGCCATCCTGCCATGAAATCACCAAGTAGAGGAATGTGACTGGCTGGAGCCGCTCCTCCTCACCTTGTTGTGGTAGACACTGCTGTTCTTGGCTACGGCACACTGACGGTCCACCAGGAAGCAGTACCTCCTCCTCTCCTCGGACAGAGCGTTCTTGTAGCCCTCGGCGATGTAGTTGTCCAGCTCGCCCTGTTTATTGCTGATGGCCTCTACATACTGGGGAGAGGAAGGAAAAAGGATGGCATGAAAAAAACATGGAGGCATGTCCTTGTTAGGACATTATTTCACTGTTCTGATTGGATTAAAGGTTTGAGAGTAGGTTGCCACAAACTGGAGTTTAAGGGCAACTTCTACCCTGAGCATTAAGGAGCCAAAATGATGTCAAAGGGATCTAATTTGAATTGAGGAGAATGGAATTTGTTTGTGGCTCTCAAAGCATTAAAAATGACTATACTAAACTAATCCAGACATCGTACGTCACAACCACGGCATATAAAAAGCAGATAAAGTGTGCTTTCATGTACCGCTTTGAAAATGAAATTGCTGTGCATTTAGAAAATGTCACAGCACATCAGACCTGAAAACCATGAATAAGGAAGAAAAGAAGTCAAGCTCCACAGACTGTCTAATCATACACGTGTCCGTTATGTGATAATGGCGACTGCTGTTCTCTATTTCCTGTAGATTAGCTGAACTAGATCACCTGCCTTTCCAACACAAACTCACTCACCCTTTGGCTGCATGTGGCTTTTAAACCTGTTCACCCTCTACTCCTTCAGCCCACTGAGTCCTCCTAGTGCTTGTTTTAGAGTTACAGGACATCTCCTCTATGCCAAACAAGTGGAACCACTCATCCACATGTAGCATCACCTTGACACGCACACAAACTTAAAAGGTAGAGGCAGTGAACCCAACTTCATCCTCAGGTAATTCTCATGTAACTAAAAGCATTTGAAGATTCCCACGGTGTCGAATAATATGAAACTGCATTCTCCAAGTGCCAGACAGCGTGGAGCTCCAGTATGAGGTGTTAATGACCGTTGCTTGGTTGTTTGCTGAGAAAGTCAGCAGCCTACGCACTGTCATACGTGATGAGACACCAGTTCTGCTCAAGGCTAAAGTCTAGATACGAAACTCAAAGTGATGGTGGCAAGATACGATTTTAAATGAGGGATTTAAGTTACCTAACGCTGAGCTGCAATTAACTTCACATATGAAGCATCACCAGGCATGCTAATAAGGTAATTAATTAAGCCAATTTGTGAATTCATTAGTACATATTTCTTCCCAACGACAGACTTATCTAAAATGAATAAATGGAATGTACAAAGAGCCAAACTCTATATTTTTCTATATTTTAACTATGCACAGTACATTTCATGAGCATAACAACTGAGATGATGTTTTTGACACTAATAATTATAAATGAAAGCCCGTTTTACTGCTGTTATACGGTATTAATGAAAACAAACTGTTAACAACAAAAAATAATAATATTGATATTAAGGTAGGATGTGATTTTATTCAGCGTTAGTCCTTTTAAAGACCAGTCAAACCATTTGGCAGCTGGACTCGCGATCACAAGCTCATGCGAGAATCCATCTTGCCCAGTTTCAAGCTAGGCTAGCACAGTGGTTTGGACCAATCAGCGTCCTGTTAGGAACTGCTGGCAGCTACGGCATGAGACTTTCACTACGTTATATGTTTTATATTGTTCATCTGATTGGTTGAAGTTCACCTGTGATAGATGGATGGTTCATCCAATCACCTGCCAAGTATTTTTTTGAAAGTACCTTAACTTTTCCAAACAGTTTCCAATAATGACTTCCCAGATGGTTCTGTGTAACAAACCTTGTGGTGCAGTCAGGATATATGGGTCTGTACTTTCATTTAAAACCAGATCACAGATTGTTCATTCATCATAAAACATTATGAAGTTAAAGCCCTTCAGCAAAATCTGTTTTTCCTTGTTGATATCATTTGGGGGACAAAGTGCTCTAAAATCTGACCGCATATTGTACAAAGAGAACCGGTATTACAAGTACAGTAAGATATTTATATATATTCATACTGTGGTGGATGGACAAAGAGTTTCAGAGAAGCAACTTGGTGACAGGACATGGACATCCTCCGTACAGTAAGTGTGTTAATTCAAATGTGAACATGGTGCTCTACAGGCTTAGAGATTTAATTAAAAGATCATCTATGAATATAGATGTGGGGACACAAAAATATCACAGTTTCAAAGAGCGTATCATTTTGATCTTATGTAACATAATGCATAGAGAATAGCATTAACCGAGCCAGGGTGAGATGTTCAGTTCTCTAAGGAGACCCTGATAATATTATTCACTCGGTGCAGAGCCGGCGTCAGTTCCTCTTTTTAGGAGTTAATAATAGACTATAATAATAAAAAAGAGATCTATAGCGTGCTTTTTCATCCACATAAAGAGAGGGTTCATCATGTGTTAATTTGTTAACCAAATCCTAACTACTGTATTTGATCTGTTTACACACACAGTGTTGCTCTTTAAATATTTGCAAGTCAAACTAAACTCAGTTTCCTCACTTTATACTGACATTAATATTTCCTGGGAAATTCATAGTAAATCAGCAAGAAAGTTTGTGTTTTTGGGGGGCAATTTTTAGGATCTGTAAAGGAAAGAATAATAGTATCTTAACAAATACTAAAAAACTGTTGTAGTGTGTTTATGAAGCACAACAGCTCTTTTATAAAAGTATAATAAGAGCTTTCACTTCAGTTCAAGGGCGCCTAAAGACATTGCATAAACTTTCTAACTGCTTCACCTCCCCCTCAGTCTGTATCACACTCTCACTGTCCACAGCCACTTAAGGCAGAGTGAGATGTTCAGTGGTTTTCAGGGGAACGACATCCTTCCACTGATCGCCTGTTATTTGCGTCTCTGTAATGACCCTAATAGCCGGGGGATTGACAAGGAAGATGAGACAGTGGCTGCAGACACCCAGCAATTAATCTCATTGTTTCCACTGTCTATACAGACTGATTACAGAGAGTGAGAAAATGAAAGGTGAGAAAAAGTGAAAGGGAAAAAATATAGAGCCTCATCAGTATTAAATACAAGGTGAAGCAGAGTCATGAAAAGTTCTGATTTCCAAATATTAACTGCATTACTTTACTGTGACATAGTTGATAGTTCACTCAGGAATATTAAAATATGAGCCAGGATATTTAGACTACCTGAGTGAATGACACCTGAATTATTCTATGTTATGACAAACCTTTCTTTCTGGTGCTTCAGTTACTGAAAGCTGTGTTAATTTACTAGTGTTGTATCAGTGAGGAGAGGTCTTTCACATTTTAGTAGAGCATGAAACAATATGGGAGTTTTGAGATTGATTCCGATACCAAGTTAAAGGGGGAAAAAATACAGATATGGTGGCCCATATAGTGAATTATTGAGGTGTGGGGAATTAGGAATGAAAATAGGGCTTTTCCATGTGGATTGTGCACAAATTTTGCACCAAAATAACTTTGCAAAGGTACTGAGAGAGCTGATTTATTAAAAACAATTCATGTTAATAATAAAGTTAAATATTCTTTAACATGTTAAATAACATTGTCCAATTCCAGCTGACATTAAGCTGCTGCTTCTCTTACTCTATGCAGCTTGCACAGTATTGTAAAATAACATATATGACGATACCAATATGTCTGTGACAGGCCAATATCGTCCGATAAGATCGGCTAACCAATATAGACATCAATAATCAAATCAAAGTCTTAATATCTTTTCACAAGAATGTTTTCACATTTTCAGACTGAACTATGCTTTGAGGTACAAGCGGTTGAATATATATACAAATTTTATGACAGTATGTATTTAAAGAGGAAAAAAAATGTGTATGAAAATAACAGATAATGGTAGTTGGATGATCTTTAATTGGAGGGCTATAGTTAATTAATGTTTTATTGTATCACTGTAATTAATCAGTGGAGTATTTGTACATGTTTCTGGGGAAAGTTTTTGTTTTCCATTTTGATCCATGATTCGGGGCATATTCACCATTATTTCCTTGTGTTCTCCTCCGTAGTGTATCGTTTTTTTCACAACAAGTAGGTTTCGCTGGTGGGAAACACTGTTGATATACTGATGTGCCACATGGAGGAGCCACAGTGTCGCCTCAAATGTTCTGTTGTCTCTCATGCTCGAGTGTTTGACCCTTACAGGTTTCAGGTAGGAGCATCAAATTAAAATGCAACCGGAAGAGACGAAATCATCTACATGAATATGATCATTTGTCAGGAAAAGAACAATTTGTAAGAGCTGAACAAGGTCCTTTGTGTGGGCGCACAATGGCTGAACATGCACTGATCACCCACAGTGAACATCAAATGTGACAAGCCAAAGTGGCAGTGTAGCAGAGGAAGATGAAGGCCACTTATGAATCATACAAACGGCGGAGGCGGAGAGGCTTTCAGGTAGCCTACGAAAAACACACAGCAAGCGACCATGTTGATTAGACTCAGACCCACATGCAGAGGTCAGGGCGGCTGCGAGGGGGCTGTCAATCAGCAAAGAGTGACTGACAGGCTGAGGGATGGGGGTGGGAAAAAACTGCCAGAGGATTCAGATTGTGTGGAGTTACGAGTGCGTTTTACAGATTCTTAGAGTAACAGCAAATCACAAAAAGAGTCATAAGGAGGAAGTTAATAGGTGGTTTACCCTGGAGTTCATGTGTGTGCTTTGTTTACTTGTTTATTAAATTCCTCATGACTTTACGACCTTTCCGGAACGCCCTGTGAGCTCTGACAAGCAATCCAAACACCTGACAAGGAAACACACACATATATGGAAACAACTAGAAAGCAGAAGCTGTAAAACCTGTTTCATTCAACCTGAGCGTAAAGTCTGGAATCACGTAGATAAAGTGTTTTCAGTTTACAAAGAGGAAAGTAAAGGCAGAATATAAGGTCACACATCCAGACAAAAACATAGTTGCTCTCTTTGAAAAATTCATTATTTCAAAAATAGTTCAATACTGTGAATTATAATGTAATATTTCCTCTTAGAGTATTATTACACCACTGCTTCGGCTCATAAACTTTCTCTTTACTTAAAACATTTTCTGAGTGCCCTTTTGGGATTGTGCAACAGAGGTGAGAAGGAAGCGACATGCCTCACTCCTTAGCTACTTCCATCATCAGCTCTAGAAAAAGCTATAATTTTTTGTTA